CAATTCCCACTCAGAGAAGCACAAGAGCAGCAGTGACAGAGCTCCAAGCCATGGGCTCTCTCACTCTGTGCTGTGAACACCGTTATCTGCACACCCAGGGCYAAGGCAAAGTTTTTAAACAGCTGAGACACTTTACCAAAGTGCCAGCACGCAGCTTGACAGCCACAGAACAGCAACAATGACACCTCTCTGGGTTTTGGTGAGAGGGAAAGAAGAGGGGCCCATACCCAGGAAYATGAATTCCTGCCCTCACCGCCCTCAAGGGCACATCACAGTGATTAGCGAGCTGCCCAGGAGGATCACAAGCTTGTACACAAGCAAAGTAATTCTTMAATGAAACCAGCAGGGAATAAAAGAAAAAGCTCCACTGCTAAAGGAAGCTCAAACACACTTTTTTGAGCCCAGTCATCCAAAAGCAATTATTAAGCTCTTGTTGTTTCTGAATACACTTGGCCTTAAAATATTAACATGTGCTTTTTGTTTTATGCCTCAGACTGCACGAAATTAATTAAATACACCCAAAATGGTATGAGCAATCTCTCAAGCACTAGCTAGTTTAGCAACTAATCCTCTGYTTTAGTATGAAAGACACAGGTTTAGGTTTTTCAGTCATATGAGGCATCATCCTACAGTTCATGTGTTAGGCATCTCTCCTGTCCACTGGCAACATTATTTCAGGCATGCTTGCAACATTTTCACTTAATTAAAGAAAAAACAGACAGATGCATAACCACTTCAAACTTTTATACTTTGCAGAACTGGGAGTTTATCCGATTTTTTTCAGAGTTATGAAGGTGAAACATAGCACTTTAGGGCAAAATGTAGCAATTTCTGCTGCCGCTCAAACTTTGACACAGTTGTTTTTTTTTTTTTCTGGCAGTAATTACCCGTGTTGGTTTGCATGTGCTCAGAGTAATGACACACACACACACACACACACACAAATAACTCACTGCACTTTGTGACTCACTGGGATGCCTTCGCAGAAATTATCTTGGTCACACTTTGTGCACCAAACACCGTGGGGAGAACTTTTCAGAGGGGACAGTCAGCAGTGTTTTATTTTAGCTGTGAACAATCCACATCTGAGTGAAAAGCCATTTGATACCCTCCCCCCCCCCCAAACCTGTATAAATATTTTGTTTCAGTCGTGTTTGAATGGCAGAGTAAATGAGTTTCATCCTTTGTTTCAACCATAACAGTGCCTTGTTTGAAGTTGCTATTTCAAGCCGGGAGAGCTGGGCCTTTATTTTTCAAAGATGTTATTTCCTGAGACCCTTTGCTCTGTGAACTTACAGCCGCTCCCCACTGGAGCTTCATTGTTAATTGTCTTTTTAGGGGCACAAATATACAGCCTTTCCTTTCAAATTCAGGACAGCTCTGTTTATTTACGCTGCTGAATGCAAATGCACCGGGAAGGCATCTCTGGTGCTGCAGGGATGCCAGGAGCAGTGGGAGGAGGTGAAGGGCTGGACTGGACCCTGAGAGCCCACCAGACACTCCTGGGGCTCCCAGGAAAGGGATGCTCCAACCCTGCTCTGCCCAGGACAGCTGGAGGAGGAGGAAGAGGAGGAGGAGGAGGAGGAGAAGGGACACGTGCAGCCCAAACCTCTTCAGCCAGGGGAGCTGAGCCAACATGCAGAGGAGGGTGCCACGCACACCGGGACAGCACGACAGGGATTTTCACTCCTGTGCGTGTCCTCTGCCCCTGTGGCGCAAGAGGGATTCTGGAGGGGTGAAGTCACAGCTGCTCCGGAGCTGCAATGYGGCTCTGCCGCATACCTTCCTCACATTCCCTCTCCACGCTTTAAAACTCGACATTTTTAGGATCTTATTCCCCCTCTTTGTTGTCCCCAGTGAGAATACGGTGTGCAGGCAGCGGGTGAAGCGCTTCCCTGGGATGCTCTGAGCATCAGCTGCTGCTCTCCTCTCCCCACAATGAGCTCACAATTCAGCCCTGCGGCTGCTCRGAGCAGAATTATGGGGCCAAATGATCCCCTTGGACAACTACCCATTGCCAGGTATTTAGGTACTTTGAAAAAAAAAAATCTAACAGATTCCTTTACTGTAATCCACTACAAGAAAGCAACTTTTCTGCRTATTTCTGAGACATCATTTTAGAGAAAGACAGTTAAAAAACCCCAGAAATTACTCTTTACCACTCACTTTCAGCATGGGTCCTCATTTAAAAAAAAATATGATCAAGAAGGACTCAAAAAAAAACTTATCTATATGGACTGCCACAGAAAAGACAACTTGGCAACAATTTTTCTTCAATCTTTGTTCCTTTTCTTTCCTTTTCCTTTTTTTACCCACTTCACTTTTGAGTACCACAGCTGGTTTTCCCTCACTCCCACAAAAGTAATAACGCAGCAGAAGGTTTTCCACAACAACAACAAAAAAAAAATCTCCAAAGATTGCAGCTAGATCTGATTTGATTATTCTYAAATTGACACAAAACTCCCCCTTTTGTCTCTGGCTCACAGCGTGCCAACACACGCAGGAATAAAACCAGAAAATTGTGAGGAGGATGGACAACTCCTAAAATAGAACCAAACACACGGGTACATCMAAAATCAAACCCAAACCAAACCAATTTTTTCTTTGGCTCTCTAACTTAATGATGTAAGGTTTTGGAGCTGTACAGAGGGATCATAGAATTAAAGGGGATCTTGGGCTGGAGAGGAAAGTTGTAGGTCTCTACTCTGACCTTCTGCTGGGCTTGCTCTGGGCTTTGGCCACTCCAGATCAGACTCCCACAGATGAAGCTTTCACTCACACTGGGAACATTCATTCCCAAATGAATTCATTTCCCARTATCGAATTGGCATTTTCCCTGATGCCGCTGCTCACCTCTGGAGCAGTCTGGCTCTCCCTTTGCTCCAACTTCCCATTAAGGAGTTGAAAATAGCAACGAGATTCCCCATTAGGCTGCTTTTCTCCAAACTAATGAAACCCAGCTCCSCCAGCCCCTCCTCATACATCATCCAGCCCACTAAGCACAAACCACTTCTAATGAAGCAATGGTCTATCTGTATACTGACAATAAGGATAATTTAATGAACTTAAATATTCTTACATAAGAAGAACTGCTCTAAAAATWAGACCTTTCAATAGAGCAAACTATGGCCAGGTTAATAATTTTGCTCTGGGTCCCAGGATGTTAATTTAGCAAGAAATAAATAACTCCCAGCCTTTCATCTTATCTTTCTGACAGATGTTTCCCCCTATAAAAAGGGTGTCATAATTGTTTTTGTCAGTSTTATAATTAAAATTGCTATGCAGCTGACATACAGTTTTTAATGGTTTCCCCTAGGATTATAACAGATGTTGCCTTATTAGATCAGGGCTCTCCTGGAGTAAGAAATGTCAGTGGCATAATCAAGACACTTCTTTAAATCTCTCAAAGTAGACTGTCACAATTTTCCCAGTAACATTTGACCCYAAGGGATGAAATGTATCCAGCTTTTCTAAGGAGAAAGTTTTCTAAGGAGTTTGAGAGAAACGCTAAAAAMCACAGGTTTTGCTAYAGCGAGAAATAGCTGGGAAATAGARGAGAAAGCCCTGACAACAGCACCAGCAAGGCCAAAGAAACTGTGGCCTTTTAATGGCAAAATATTCCCAGGCAAGGGTAGAGGATCAGCTGAAATCCTGTGAGAAGCTGAGAAGTAGCAGTTAGTGGGCTCCTATTATAAGAAAAGTTACAACCATATGACACAAGTGTTAATTTGAAATGGGAGTTAGTTTAAATAAAKCAAGGTGTAATAGCAAGCTTCAAGAACAGCTCTCTGAGGGCAATTTGGATCGCTGATGTTCRCTGAAAATCCAGGGAAGTCAAGGGGGAACAAGAAGAAGTGGTGGCTCCAGTGGTCAGCCAGGCTGGGGAGCTGGGAAGGGCACACGGATCCCCTTGTTTGAGTGTGCCCCRAATGTTTAATATCATCTATAAATCAGCTGTAGGTGATGTGGCAAGAGAATCAGGGATGTCAGGAGGCTCCAACCTAAGAAAAACCACCCAGGGCCCTRCCTGCCTGTCCACAAAGTGTTTCCAGCCCCTCAGGTGGAACTCACTTTGCCAAAACAAATTCAGCAGAAAGCAACTTTAGGTGTCACTGAGCTCCTTGCAACTTTCTAAGGGCCACCAAATTTTCCCCCAAGGTGTGAGGAACGCCAACTCTGTTTCACAGGCGGCGGCGGCAGGATCTGCGATTTGCAGGCTGCAGCTTTTTCGCGTCACATCCCATTTATATTAAGAACTCCCCAAAATAATTGTGGAAGGTGCGACATGACATAATCGCTGAAGTTCCACAGCACCAAGTGTCGCAGTTTACTTAAGAAAATCACACAGAATCAGGTTGGAAAAGATGTCTTAAGAACATCGAGTCCAACTTTGATAGACCATCTCTTTGTCAAGAAAAACCATGGCACTGAGTGCCACGTCCCGATGCTCCTTGAGCACCTCAAGGGATGGTGACCACCAAYTCCCTGGGCAGTTCTAATGCCTGATCACCCTTTCTGCGAAGAAATTTTTCCTAAAAGACKATTCTGTCCAAACAGACTGTGCATTTGGAATTTCAGGGGTTAACTTTCCTAATCTTATCCATCTCGACGAGAGACATTAATTAAAAAACAAGCATGGAAATCGTCCAGCATGAATAATCTCACGCACAACCGAGGAGATAAAAAAAAAAAGAAAATAACATCCGTCTCTCGGAACGACACAAAACTGCTTTTTCCCCTTTTCCTCGTCAAGCGCTCCGCATCCCCGGGCGCTGGTGGAGCCGGGGCCGAGCGCGGCTGTGCCGGTACCAGCGACGACAACAAGCGGAGGGGCCGGGCTTGAGGGAGGCGGGTCCCACCGCCTTCCCCCGCCCGCTGAAGAGCGCCTGCGAGGGCGGGCGGGCGGCACAGCACAGCGCGGAGCGGAGCCGAGCGGCAGCGGCGCGGAACCGGCGCAGAACGAGCGCGGCACCAGCGCAGAACGAGCGCGGCACCAGCGCAGAACGAGCGCGGCACCAGCGCAGAACGAGCGCGGCACCGCGGGCCGGCAGCGCCCACGCAGCGCGGGCACCCGCCTGCCTTCCTTCCTTCCTTGGCTCCCGCATCCCGCCCCTTCTCTGCCCGCTCCTTTGGCCGGGACTCTCCGCCGGGATCAGCGCGCTGTTGTTGTTGGCCGGCGCGGCCGCATCGAGGATATTTTGGCTGGCGGAGAAGCAGCGGCGCCGCGTTCCCTTGGACGCCGGGTGCGGGGCCGGGGCCGCCGCGGAGGGAGCGCAGGAGCGGCGGAGCGCTGGCATCGGGGGCCAGGTGAGGCGGGGGCGGGAGGGGGGAAGGGGAGAGGAAAGGAGAAAGGGGGGCGTTTTATCGGTGCTCCGGACCTTTTCTCGCCGGTGCTCCCGGACCCTTTTTCGCTGGTGCTCCCGGACCCCTCCACCGCGGGACACATCCGCGCCGGGCGTTCTCCGTGGGGATGCCGAACACAGCCCCCACAGCCCCCAGCCTCCTGATCAGCCTCCCCCGGGGGCGATGAGGGACAGATGGAGGTAGCGGAGGGGACCCCGCGGGGCTCATTCCCGTGGATGCGCGACCCGGCAGGAAGGGGTTAATGGGGCAGCGCGCTCTGGATTTGGTTAGGACTTTAAAGGGGCTTAAAAAAAAAAAACCCAAAAAAAACAAACAAAAAAAAAAACGTTGGGCCGTGTGATCTCCCCTCCGAACTTTTTTTATGTGGGCGAGGCGTGTGTCATGTGTGTGGGAAGGCAAGCAGGCTCCCGGCGATCTCCCGGCGGAGCTCGGGGAGCTCAGGGGCTGCACGGGGCACGCGGTTCTCTCCTACCCTGTTCCTCTGGAGCCTGGGTTTTGTCTGAAAAAATGACCATTTAGAAGAAAAACAACAACCAGGCATAATATCCCCCTCTGTCCGCTCTCCTCCCTAAAAAAAAAAAAAAACTCAGAACAAACAAGGGAAAATAACACTGGAGGTACATTATCTACTTTGGGGACACCAGCGCGCTTCAGTTGTGCGTGTGGATGCTGCCCAGCTGCATCCAGCTGTGCGCAGGCACCTGGCTGTTGCTGAAAAGAAGGCGATCAGAATTCAGGAGTATTAGTTAATAAGTGCCTGATCCTGTTGACCCTGTTCTGGTTCACCCACTCAGCTATGCGGGGGTGTTGAGGAAGGTGTCCTGCCAGTTAAACCAATTATAGCTGGCAAGTCGCAGTCATCAGCATTAGTGGAGGAGCTGGAGGTGAGGCCCAGTCRCACCGCGTTGGGCCGTAGTGGCTTTTCTGAACTTAAAACAGCAGCTTTCCAAGTCCAGCAGAAAGCCAGATTTAACCCTCTGTGCCATTAAAATCCGTGATGCCTTTCCAGCTGTTTGTCTCGTGATATCTCCGTATGGATTTCATATCTCAGGGCTGGAAATTTGCGCCGCAGATGGGGAGAAAGCCGATGTGGGATGAGCAAAGGCTGTAGAAATTCCTCTGCTTGAGATATTTGGTTGGAAGAAGAAAGCTGGAGTGTTGCAAAACAGGCTGAGGATCTCCATGTGGTGTTCAGCCAGAGCTCGGGGTCTCGTTTTCACAAAGCTTTCCTTCCAGATAAGGCCACGGAATAAACGTAGCGTGAAGAAACAGGGGCTTGGGTTAATGAGCAATGCCGTGTAATCAACACTTGGCATAAACCTTTTGTCTTAGGGCCCTAAACATCTCGAAAGAAACAGAATAAAACTCAGGAAGGAGAGAATCCCAGCCCCTTTGGTCGGCAGGGAAGTGCCTAACAGGATTTGTGGAGAGGTCAGAATTGAACACAAGTTGCCAGGAATCTTATTTGTACTCCTAACCAGGGTTTAGACCTGAACTTACTGAATATACATATAACATTTTCACAAATGCTCAAATCCCTAAGCCAATTATCCCTGGACAGCAGAGCATAATTTAAAGGCAAAACAAAGGGTGTTAGAAATTGCCCTATACTTGTTTAAAAGCCCAGCCAAATGCAAGGATAAACAGTTGTTTAAACTGTGGCAAATTTAATGAACAGATTAGGATGCTTGCTGAGTGAGACTCATGCTGTGTGAAATTCTTTGCTGCTCAATGAGATGTGTAATTTAGATCAAATATTTGTACGTGCTGTTTGAGGTAAAAAACATCATTCAGTAGGTTGCACTTTTTGAGTAACGTTAATGAATATTCTTTTCGGAGTCAGTTGATTTATTTTGTTTCAATTAGAAGGCCCACCCAGCTGATAACAGGGAAGTTGAAATAGGCCTTTCAGGTTGAGGACTCTTGATATTTTTTTTTCCTTTTCTTTTTAAGTGATCAGTTATTTAGGAGGATGAAAGGCTTCCTTGTCTCTGGCTGCTGGCTGTTTTTATTTTCCTCGCTGTTTAAATGGATGACTTTTGAATGTGTTGCCATTTTTAACAAGCTGGGCTTATTTTGTTAAGCTCCTAATTTGCGATGTTTTCCCCTGAATTTAATTTTTTTTTAACTTGAGTTAAGACAGTGAATCTGTCATTCAGATTGTAATGATCAGAGTTTTGTGGAAATCTTGATAGTGTCTTCTATGGCTATTTAAATACATGTTTTCAGGCAGTTTTTGTGGAGCAAGAGAATTTAACCCAATGCTGTGAAAAAAGGGAAGGAAAATTAAGAGTGCAGTTTGATAAGATATCAGTCACTGACACCTGAATTGCAGCATCAAGATAAACCTGAACAATGGCTATAAAACTGGCTTTATTCCTTATGTTTGATCTCTCCCATAGGTCAGTCAGAGGATAGGAATCTTATCACTCTTGTCCTTAAGTGAAATATAGGAGAAAAGTTACACAGGCCTCACACAACCCTGTTCCTGGTAATAAAGGCAATCTGATAAAGCTTTGACTTCAGTGGCATGAACATATTGATAGTGGTCCCATTATCAGCCCTTTAAAAAGGGTATTTTACTGCATAAACCTCTTTTCAATTAAAACTAAGGCCCTCTAAAGCTTTATAAATATGTTAATCCTGTTTAGAAAATGTGCAAGATAACAAGGGCTTGGAGTAAAGTAGTGAAGGCAGGAGGTTGCTGATGCYGGGTATTGGCTTCACTGATTATTCATGAAAGGGGTGAATGCARGAGGTGAAGGTGTATCACAGTGTCATTCTGTCACTCCTCTTCCTTCCTCTGAGAGCCAAAGTCTCAAGTGAATCATGGCTGCTGAGAGGGATGCAGTAAGCAAAAACAACACAGAACTGACTGCTTTAGGTAATGGGTGAAAAGCTGGAGAAAAACCCAAAGAGCTGATACTCAGTGGGCAAGGGATTTCTGTGAGCTTCTCAGCCTAACAGCATTTTTGTGGAAGCTCTTCCTGTTAAAAACCAAGATGGGAACTGCACTATGTGTTTGGCATGGAGAAGCTTTTCCCATATCATTCCCAGAGCTGCTCCACAGCCTGTCCTGGAGCAGTTRGATGCATCTGTGAATATCTGCTTCCTCCTCCTTTGGCAGTGATTTTCATGTGGCMCCTCTCATTTTTCAGATGAGTGACTTTGGGATCAGGAACATRGACCAAGTAGCTCCCGTGTCGAACATGTACAGAGGAATGCTCAAGGTGAGTACTCTGGAGCTGGCACCTTCCAAGCTGGGGCATCTCCCAGCATTTGTTGTGTTCSTGCAGTGCTGGAACAGGAATTGGCTTAGCTCAGGTGAACACAGATTTCATTGCTTCCCTGTGGTCTTCTGTCAAAGTATTCCCACTGAGTTCAATGGAGATGGGAAAAACAGAACTGAAATAGGAACGTGTAAATCTTGCACCCTCCACCCTCTCCCCCAACGAGGCTCCCTCTGTTCATTCCCTAAATCCTAAAAGGTTGAAAGCAAGAGGTAGATAAGAACTGAGCTYGAATTCGCTGGTGTTGGTAGAACTTTTTGCCAAAACAAAGGTTCAAGTGTGGGCAACGGGTGGGTTTGTGTCTTTAACTTGATGAGACTGGCAGGGCTGTTCTGATGGGACTGCTCAGGTTTGGTGCATTCCTAAGCATTGGTTGGAATAAAAGTAGATTATTCACKTAGTACTGACAATTGTTATTCATGGAAATCCAATACATTGTAAAAACCCCAAGATATTTATTTAATTTAATTTATCTTTAGGTAGGCTGGGTCTTGTTTTGAAAATGAATTTACAAACCAAGGTTTGTAAATGAGCAGAAGACTATGAAGGCTCAGTCTTAAAGGGCTGCTCACCTCCCCATTCATGCAAGTTGCTTTTTAATCCCAGTGTGAATTTTTTACACAATATTGATTAATGTAAACCAAATAATGGTTAGGGAGACCCTTTCTGCTCTCATTTGCTTTGAGGAATGTCCATGTTTTGAAGAATGCTGGTATGCTGATTGCTCTGATGCTTTTTGTCACCTCTTACCATTTTTTCCCTTACAAAAAAAAATCTGAGAGATCCCCCAGCTTCACATCTGTATGTTCTTAACACAGTGGTTGCTGTAAGCAGTTACTCAGTGTTCAGTTGTCACAGAATTAAGTCAAAAGCTTGTGTTCTACTAAGCTGTAGTAATTCACATTCCTTTTTACCTCGTTCTGCAATAATTACATGTATTGAAAAGCCAAGTAAAGTAGTTGTGTAACTGATAGGACAAGCAGAATTCATTCTGCATTGTGTTTTTCCTCTTTTACTACTATTAAATCAAGAACGTGCTTACACATTAATTTTCTCCCTTTTGAAATATGAAACCAGCACGGTATGGATTTTACTCATTCACATGCCACAGCATTTTTTCCAGTGACTCAGGATAAGGGTCAGCTATTTACACAAAATGCAGGAGTTTCCAAATTGTGTTGAAAGAACTTGCCCTTTCTTTTAGGTACTAGGGATGAGTCAGAGCTTTTATCTAGTAACGCATAAAGAATCTTTTACCAGCAGATTTGGCAGCTGTTATTAACCTGTTTTACTCACACAYGAGCCTTTCCAGGGGCTTGTTCTGGCTCTTGTTGTGGGTACCCAAACTAGAGGTCCACAGTTTGCTGGCCAGATTTCTGAACCTGTTAAATGAGGCATGAAACTGTTTGTGGTGATGTGAAAAGTTAGGGATTGTGAGGGAAAATTAATCCTAATTTGCTGTTCYAGGAATATAATTTAGCTTGCTTTTGCATTGCATGTGAATACTACCCTGAAAAATCCTTGCTAAATCCACTCCTTTGGCACAAACTGGCAAATCGGTGGTTGCCTAAACCAAATAAACATTTGCAAGTTGCCTTTGTCTCCAGCTCCCTGAAGGGCAGGAGCTGTCATGAGCAAGCTTCAGGTTTCCAGAACAATGTTCTATCCTCAGGTGCTTTTTAAAAAAATCTCAGAGGCAATTTTTATCCATCTTTGCCTCAAGTTATCGCAGATATGTTTTCCCTGTGACTAACAGGCAAGGTTCCTAAGTTGTTTTTGAAGTTATTTCCTCCTCACATTCCTTCTGCACCCCAAAGACTAAAGTGGTTGAGGGGAATTCAGTAAATTTATACCAGTGTTTCTGRCATACACAGTTGGCACAAGTCAAGTTTGAAAGGAGTTAGGTTTTCAAAATATAACAATATTTCTTGAATGTTGTCAGTATATCAGTGGAATCCGCTTTTATCTGGAACGTTTTTGTCAGTCTTGTTTATCCATTTCTGTAAAATGAAAGTAGAAGTGTTTCACTGAGTGCCTGAGCACTTGAAAGACTTCAAAATGTGATTGCTGGCAAATCCAGTAAGGCAGAAGTACAAAAGTTGCTGCAACATCCTTCCTCAAGTCATGTAAAGCTGGTGTAGCTTCAAGTGATGTGGTTCAGACGACTTATTTTCCTTTAGGAAGACAAAAACTGCATAAATTTACTGTAGGTCTTGCACTGGTAAATTTACAGATCTGCCATCAAGTACTCATCAAGTGGATAATCAATTTAAGGGGTTAAGGAAATAAGGATTTCTTTAAAATGTACCTGGAAATAAATACATATTAATACACACCACATACACACGTATTCTGTATTGTTCAAAGCCTCAATTACAGGAAAAGCTAAGAATATCCTTATTTGGCTTTCTGTACAGGCAGAACATCCCCCAGCTCACCCTGGTCACTGGGTTTTATTGACGTAGCAGAAGCTGTGCCCTCCTTGTGGTTATGTTTCAAAGCTGCCTGATTCAAGATAGCGGTTGGGCATGATCTCCACATCGAGGAAACCAAACCCAGACACTTCTGAGCAATGGAGTTCACAGTTCTCTCACAAAATGCTGATGTTGTTCTGTGTTTGTTCTTGTTGCTCTGCAGCGTCAGCCGGCGTTTGACACTTTTGACAGCTCAAACTCGCTTTTTGCTGGGTATTTTTTCTCGCTGAATGAAGACCAAACGCTWCAGGAAGTGCCAACAGGATTTGACTCCACTTCTTATGGTAACTCTTCGTTTTGTTCCTTAGTGCAATCAGCAGATCAGAAATTTGTGGGGTCTAATGAACGTTTTCTGGGTGTACTTTTACAAATGCAACATGGATTTCCCTAAAAAGAAGTGGTTTARTACACAGACTTCTGTGTACGTGCTTGATTTTATTCATGTGAGTTTCTTTGTGGGTAGTTGTTTTTTCTGTACTGAAAAGGAATAGGAACTGGGATGCAGTAGCCTAGTAGGCTGATTTTTCATGGAAGGAGCCTCAATAGGATTTAAAGCAGAGCTAGGAGTTTAAAAATCTTTTTTAAAATTTTTTGTTGTGTTTAAATTTGCAACATCTCAACTATAATTGATGTGCAGATATTCTGCAAGCTTCTTTTTTTGATTCTCTTGTGTTAAATCCCAGTATGTTTTATTCCATACCTTAAAAGTAGGATGGGGACATTTAAAGATTTTTTTTATTTTATTTTTATGTGTGTGTAGGGCAATACCCACTAAGAGGGTATCCTTGCCTAAAATCCCTGACTAAATGTAGATATTTTACCTGATAGTGCTTTTATCTCCCCTTAGGGAAGGGAAAAAACCCTCCAGCCCTCAAACGGAGAAAACCACAGGTCCTTTGTTCTAATGTGATTCTAATCAGTCACCTGCTCTGGTCAGCACAGCAAGTACTTGCAGATAGTAGGAAGGGTGTGGTGAAAACAGGAGTTAAGCACAAGTGGAACCTGGGAGAGCCAGAAGAGCTGCACAGCTCTGAACTGACTTGGAAACTGCCAAGAGCAGCCTGGGATAGTGGAAAGTGCCCATGGCAGGGGGTGGAACTGGGTGATCTTCAAGGTCCCTTCCACTCCAAACCACTCTGTGACATCGTTCTATGGTAAAATGAGGCATCTTCTGGWGAAAATTGACCAGTAAGAAAAACTGAGTGGGAGCCAAATTTATCCTTAAAATAGAACCGGCTTGTAAATTTGGAAGTCAGTGAAGTAGATTAGTAATTTATGCTGACGTATAATGGTGCCAACTTTGTGGTTTGCTGTGTTATTCACCCCCAGCTTGTTACCAGTCACACTTGTTTGGTCCAGATGATGGAATAATCCATTGCACCATGTCCTTGGGTGATGAGATATGATAAGGTCTGAAATGCAGAGTTAAATGGTGCAAGCCAGCTCTTCACAGCCCTGCTGTCAGTCACTTAGCTCTCCATTTAAATATTGTCTGGAGATGTAAAGAAGTCTGAGGTCAGATTATAGGTGGCAAAATAGGAATGAGCAATCTCATTTCCTTAAGAAAAAAACRCAAAATGTAATAGTAAAGTTTCCCTGCAACAAAGGCACTTTATGTAACTACTGAGAGTAAATAAGGATCTATGCATGGAAAGCTGCAAAGCTCAAATTAATGATGCAATCTTATCAAATGAGTAGCACAGAGATTTTAGGGCAYGGTGATTTCTGGTTTTAAAACACCATCTTTCTAGCATCCTTTTTAAAAATTTCTCTTAATTCTTCAAATAGCAAAAACCAGTCACTGCTTTCAGCGGCCTGAAGTTAATGTGTCTTCTCTCTCCCCTCCACCSCTTTTCTTTTCTTGCAGAGTCGAACAACTGTGAATTGCCTCTGTTAACCCCGTGCAGCAAGGCTGTGATGAGTCAGGCCCTGAAAGATACTTTCAGTGGTTTCACAAAGGAACAGTGTCGGCTGGGTATCCCAAATAGTAAGTGTTTGCTATTTATAAGCTTTTTTTTTTTTTTTTTTTAATGCTAAAGAGGAGGCTGAATAGCGGCTCTTTGGAGAGGAAAGAATGATGTCAGTAGGAAATACAAGAATGGATCCTATGTGAATCTGGCACAGCTTGCCTTGGAAAGGCCAGACTTGCTGATGTTAAAAATGGGTGCATGGAGAGCTCATGCTTTGGCAGCATGAGAGAGAATCAAGCAAGCTGAGGACATCTCTGGTTGCAAGTGAATGCAGAAAGAAAAAAGAGGACTGGGTTTTTTTAAAATTCAAGAATACATTCMTTCTGAATTCATTCAAAACTAAATAACTTGGCTAAACAATTTTTTTTTTAAATTCAGTGCTTTTTAACGACGATTATTTGACAAGGGCCAGGAGTTATCTCTAAATATTGGATCYTTCCTGTCTTGCAGATCCCTGGCTRTGGACTGAACAGCAAGTTTGCCAGTGGCTTTCTTGGGCTACCAACGAGTTCAGCTTGGCAAATGTGAATTTCCATCAGTTTCTTATGAGTGGCCAAGAYTTGTGCAACCTGGGCAAGGAGCGTTTCCTGGAAYTGGCACCTGACTATGTGGGTGATATTCTGTGGGAGCACCTGGAACAGATGATTAAAGGTAGTTACAGAGCCAGAAAGAGCTTTTGTTTTAGGGCTCTCCTAACAGAAACAGAAATGGGACTTGGTTTCAATACTGGTTTCACTTTTATTGTGTATGAAAACTCAAACTTTAAAACTTGGTTAATAAAAGCATTATCAGCATTATCAGTACATCCTTGGTATGCAAGGCACAGCTGCAGATAGCTGCAGAAATTCTGTGTGCAGGCTGAATACATTTGTGGGCAGGTTTTATTTGGGAAAATGATTAGAATAAATGAGATTGGGGTACGACGGCTGTAAATACCCCATAAATAAAATAGTTAACCCTATAAATAACCAAGARGTGGACCTTATAGCACACTGCAGTTATTGGTGGGTTTAAGTTTTATATTAAAACTAACATGGGTTAGGTTTTTTGGTGTGATTTGTCTTGAGTGAGAGAATGTAATACAGTGCAATAGTACAATTTTTGTGAATGGTGACCCCAAAATACTCCCAAGAGTCAGAAGCTTTCYATGGCCCAATCTTTAAAACTGTAAACCTATGTTTTTTCTTTCTCCTCTCCCCAGACAGCCAAGAGAAAACACAGGATCAGTATGTGGAGAACTCTCACCTCACCTCGGTTCCCCACTGGGTCAATAATAATTCCTTAAGTAAGTATTTCTAAAAATTCATATTTTGCGTCTTTCCATTTATTCCAAGCATGYCACAGATTGCAGGGTAAAAACAAAAAGCACCAGAATAGTTACTGTGCTTGAGGAGAACATTCGACTTCAGCTCTTCCAGCCTTCTTTCCTTGTATTGTTCAGTTGTCATCTAATTTATATCGGAAATCTTTTGAAGAGCAAAGGCTTTGAGAAAATGAAATTTCCTCTTGCTATGCCAAACCCTCCATCTTTGGGGCAGAATGACCACTCCCATCTGTAGCAAACAGAATCAAAAACTGGGAAGCAGCAAGAGTTATGTTTAGGCCTTTTTTTAAAGGCTGTGGGAGCGTGTTAGAGCTGTTGGAAGTGTGTGGGATGCAGTGCCGGCTCCCTTGGATCGTTTGATTGATGCTGTGTTTTACTCTGTCACACTCAGCCTTCAGCTCAACCTGATTACACCACTTAATGGTGARAGCATTGCTCAAAACCACTTAAAACTTCCTCGTTTTTTTCTGTAGTTTCCTTGAAAAACGAACAATGGACATTTGTGGCTGGCAAGGCACAGAGGGGGATTTATGGAATCTGATTTGGTGTATTTAGTGTATTAGTTTGTTTAAGGGTCTCCAGGGGAAAAACCATCTTAATTCTTTCGGGKTTTTTTTTCAGCTGTTAACGTAGATCAGAATTCCTATGGAATGCAAATGCCTGGATACCCTAAACCCCTCAGTTATCCCAAACCCAGTCTCCTGACTGACGTCTGTCAGACTTCCACGGCACCGAATCTCCTCGCCCCAGAACAAGAGTTCCCATTGTTCCCTAAAACCCAAGCAGATGCTGTTGGTGTGAACTACTGTGCAGTAAATCAAGATTTCCCAAGGAGCAATCTCAATTTGCTGATGGATAACTCTGGTGAGTCGTTATCTGCACGATAAAAATGAGGCCAAGGCCGTATTCTGCATGGCTCTTCCTCCTTCACGTGATTTGTATGGACAGGCTTGATTAAAGGGATGGGGAAAAAAACACCAACACTTCCTATTTTACTAATTTTATTGTTTTGTTKGATAAAGGCAAGCTGAGAGAGCACGAATCCAGTGACAGCGGTGCTGAGAGCTACGAGAGCTCGGATTCCATGCTGCAGTCCTGGAACAGCCAATCCTCCCTGGTGGATTTGCAGCGTGTGCCATCCTACGAGAGCTTCGAGGATGACTGCAGCCAGTCCCTGTGTCTGAGCAAACCTACCATGTCCTTCAAAGACTATATTCAAGAGCGGAGTGATCCTGTGGAGCAAGGGAAACCAGTTATACCAGCAGCCATCCTGGCTGGCTTTACCGGTGAGTGGTGAGGCAAAATGGTCACTCCATTTTTATTTAACATCAGTATTCCCTGCAAGTGTGTGCCACGGGGGTAGAGACCACTAGTCACAAGTAATTTTAGTTTTAAATGTTGCTAAACAAAGTCCTGTGGATTATCTACCCAAAGCAAGCACAGACAGGCACGTCAGATGAAGTGAAAATCAAATGTGCTTTTTGATCTGTTTGAAAAAAGGGAAACCTGGACAAAACCTCCCAGATTTGGGAATTTCCACAGGTGTTGTTAAGGCCTGTTCCTGTAGTCCTTGCTGAAATTGGCTTTTTTTCCTGTAGAACRTTTGCCAAGCCAAGGACTTCAGGACAAGCCCTGGAACTGGAWGTGCAGCTGTTGGGAGGTGGGAGTGAGGGTTAAAGGATCCATATGAAAGGGAAAGCCATAACTTGTGTCAAATCCTTTGTTTCCACGAAAAACCCGACTTCATTTTTACATGGTTGGGAGCACATTTGTGTTATGGAGTGAAACCTTAGGTTTCTTTCCGATCTGTAGAAAAAGATGGATTAATTACAAGGTGCTGTGRTATGAGTCTGGTCACATACGTTGGTGGTGGTTAGAGCTGGCAGAGGCATTAATTTGTGGTTTTTTCTTGTGTCCTCTTTCTCAACAGGCAGTGGACCTATACAGCTGTGGCAATTCCTTCTGGAGTTACTGACGGACAAGTCCTGTCAGTCATTCATCAGCTGGACAGGAGATGGATGGGAATTCAAACTTGCTGATCCAGATGAGGTATGTGGCTAMTTGGGGTGAGCACAAAGATTTGTCAGGGTCTGACCTGACATCTGTGGGCTTAGTCTTGGATGTGGATGTTTGTGTAGCTACACATCAAATATGGCAGTGCTGCTTTTGAAGTATTTTGGGAACTTCAGCCRTTAAAAATAAATAGAATGCATTTTCATTTTCTGATGCTGTTTCCAGGAGGAAAGTTGGTRTATTAAGAGAAGGGATAAAAAGTCCAGTGAAACTTTTTTAYTTAAAAAAAAAAAGGGCAGAGAAATCATGAACTCCAAGGAACTTCATAGCATTCARCTTCCAGTAGAGAGCTGTGCCCTGCTGCCTGATAGCAAATCAATGGGGAAATGGTGGTTTTTTTGAGAGAGCAGACTGTGCCAGAGCTCCAGGAGCGTTTGGACAATGCTCTCAGGCCCAGGGTGGGATTGTTGGGGTTCCCTGTGCTGGGCCAGGACTTTGATCCTCATAGGGATCTTCCAGCTCAGGATTTTGTGTTATTCTTGGGGTTGTCCTGTGCAGGGCCAGRAGTTGGGCTGGCAGTGGAGTCRGCRTCCCTGGAGKTGTTTAAGAAGARTGGATGTGGCACTGAATGCCACGGTCTGGTTGACAGGRTGGTGTTGGGTCATAGCTTGAACTGGATGATCTCAAAGATCTTTTCCAGCCTGGTTGCCTCTGTGATCCTTAGGGGTCACTTCCAGCTCAGGATAGTCTATGTTTCTTGGGGTTGCCCAGTGCAGKGGCAGGAATTAGACTTTGATCCCTGTGGGACACTGCCAACTTGGGATATTTCTCCATGAACTTGACCTCCTTAAGCATATTTTGGCCCGTCCACTACAAACTGGTGTCCTTTGCTGTCAGCCACTTTGTCCTGAAGCTGCTGTTGWTGTCTGTGGTGGGATCAGTCACCAACTCCTCTCTTGTGAGGTTGCCTCATCCAGAGCAAATAAAATGCTCTGACTGAGAAAGTGGCTGATTAAATAAAACCCCGAGAAGGAGACGATTTGAATAAACCTGCGTTCTGCTTCCCGGCAGGTGGCCCGGCGCTGGGGGAGGAGGAAAAACAAACCCAAAATGAACTACGAGAAGCTGAGCCGAGGCCTGCGCTACTACTACGACAAGAACATCATCCACAAGACGTCGGGCAAGCGCTACGTKTACCGCTTCGTGTGCGACCTGCACAACCTGCTGGGCTACACCCCCGAGGAGCTGCACGCCATGCTGGGTGTGCAGCCCGACACCGAGGACTGAGGGGGCCCCGCCACGCCGCAGGCTGCAATGGCGCGTGGGGACGGGGCCCGGCCCGCCCGGGGGAGGCGCCGCCATGGCGGGACCCTCTCTTGCGGGGTTTGTGACGGCGGAGAGCCCAGGGAAGGGAAGGGACGGGAAGGGGCCTCGTGCCGTCGTGAGGAGACACAGGATGCTCCCAGGGTCAGCGTTTCGGCCGCCTGTCCCGCCCTGCCGGGTGTGAAGCGTTTTGGCTGCCGTGGGAGAACGGGGGTGGCTTTGAAAAACCAAAGGTTGGCCGTGAGAAACCAGTGATGCAGCAGAACTCTTGCTCGGATGTTCCTGGAACACCACCGTCCTCGCTTACATCTTGTATCATGCAGTTTATTTAAAAAAAAAAAAAGAAAAAAAATAAAAACCAAACAAACTAATTTATTTTAAATGAGCAGTAAGGAGACTGGTATTAGTTTTGTTTTAAAGCACGTTTTCTTCTTGTTGTTATTATTATTGTTACTACTCCAGAAATGTGCTGCATAGGTACATAAACACTCTGTGTCCAAAACCAGATGTAGCAACGGTTAACAAAAAAAACCCCACCCCTTAAAAGAAGGGAAGGAAAATCATACCATTTCAATATTCACTTTGTATATATTCTGTGATTCCTTTGGAAAAGCTGATGTTCCTATTTAACAGATACTGTATAGTGTAAATTAAACTAATTGTATGTGTGTTTTGAAATAGGATGAATGTAAACTTACCAAACRTGGGTTTTTTTTTTCATGTTTGTCTAGGATATACAACCTTCTGCAAATATTTAATTGGCCTGAGAGACAGCAGAGGTTGTATGCTCAGTGTGCATGCRTTTGGGGGGGSMRGGRRGGRRGSCSGGGCTCAGGATTTTGCCAAGACTGAAGCTGGCAATTCTTTGTGCATTTTGGCATTTTTACAGGAAACTAATGTTGTATTCTGGGACATAAAAGGGCCTGTTTGTGGTTTCTTCTGTAACTGAAAAATGAAAATATTAATATGGGTAAAATTACCTTTTTCTTTATAAATGGCATATGTTTTTCAACTTCTATGCATGTACTTTTAAAAAAAATTTATATACAARCCTTATTTTTTCAGTTCACTTGTCTCTTCCTGCAGTTTACTCTGTATGATTAAAATATGAATTCTATTTTTGGAAATAACTGTGACTCCTTTTCAAAGATCAGGAGAGTTTTATGTAGCAGCTTATTTTTAAAAAAAAAAAAAAAAAAAAAGAAAATCACTGGAAAAAAATGTACTTTGTAAGAAAGCTTTATTTTTTATCTGAGCTTGATGTACAGTTCAACGTGTTGTACAGTGTGAGAGGTTTAAAAATATGAGTCTTCATTAAAACCTCTTGAAATGAAAGTTTTGTGTGTGCTTTTTGATTTGGAATGTTTCAGAGGAGTTCYGTTCTTGTTTATTTGTTGGTTCAGCCCTTGTCCATCCTGCTACCACCACCCTCAACATCTGCAGGATGAAAAAATAMCCCAAAAAAACCAYAAAACCAGCCAGACATCAAGGTTTTTTTTTAGAAAATACTGCAAGAATACATCAGCATAGGCTGATGGGTCTTGAGCCAAGCGAGATGGATGCAACCACTCTCTCTTTGGATATAAATTCAAGTTAACACCTTTGTGTTGTACCTCTGAAAGAAAACTCTCAGTTCTGTGGTGTGAAAGAGCGTGTAAAGTGAGGAGGGAAGATATGGAAAAAACAGAGGTGGGAAGACAACTTTAGCTTGAACTGTTCTATCYTGTGCAAAGGAACCCTACTGTCTCYATCATACCCTTCTCCATCCCTCYACCTTCCAGAGAAGCAGGAAATGCAGAAGCATTTGTACACATTGAAAAAGTATAAATGTTATTAAATTATGCTGCTGCTGAACATCTTGATCTTTCTACCAAGCTGTGTCTTGGTGTTGCTTTTTGTTCAGTCACCATGTGAAAAAGCATGGGCTTGAGATTTTTTGGGGAATGTGCCTTCTTAAATGGGAGCAGCTGGAAGGGTGGGCATGTGTCTTGCAGCATGGCTCTGTTCTCTGAACAGCTGTAGATTTACTTTTCCTGGTTCTTTAGACTGACTTTTCCTTGTCCCTGTGAAGAAAAAGAGTCATGGAATGGTTTGGGTTGGAAGGGACCTTGAAGATCATCCACTCCCACCTCACTGCCATGGACAGGGGGTAGTGCTGCATAGTGCCTGTGATCCTGCTCCTGAGGGACTTACTTATTTTGCACTAAAGTGTGGGCTGTCATGATTAATGTGGGATTTTTTTCTTTCTCACCAYGGCTCAACCTGTACAAGTCTCATTTGCAGCCTCTTTTCCTTCAACACAGAACTGGTTCTTCATTTAGACTGAAAACTTTGTTTCCTCTTGGCGTGGGTGATCAGTGATTGCTCTGAATTGGAGGCTAAAGCAAAGTTGTTTATTTTGCTCCCCCAGCAGAAAAAAAGAAATTTTATGGTAGTGGAAATATCCTGATCTATGCAGCCCACACTGGTGTGTCTTCCAGAAGCCAAAATATTCCAGCAAAAGCATTGGTAGGGGCTSCCCAGGGAGCTTTGGAGTCCCCATCCCTGGAGGTGTCCCAGGAAGGGCTGGAGGTGGCACTGAGTGCTCTGGGCTGGGGACAAGGTGGGCATCGGGCACAGCTTGGACTCAGTGATCTTGGAGGACTTTCTGTGTGATCTATTCCATGAAAACCTGCTCTCCTGCCCTCAACTGGGTCCATGAAGCAGTTCAAGCTGTGGCCCAGGGTGACCCAGAAGACAATGATTAAAGGATATTTTGTCACAGCGCACACAGAAAGCCCTGCTCTGTGTTCTCAGCCACCCAGCATCAAAGGGGCTGTTGAAAGCAGTCTGGCTGAATTCTTCACCTTCTTCAGGACATGCCTCCCTGTGCTTCCAGCTGCCAGCTTTCCTCATGAGACTGCAGTCAAAATAAAGTCTTGCAGTTGGCAGCCTACTCACAGCTGGCATATCACCTCTAATAACAGAGCTCTACTTCAAAGTCTTCTTTGCTCTTTTTAGTTTAAAAAAAAATAGAGAAAAAAGTAGAATCCCATCCCAAGTAAAACAGCACCTCTGGGCTGGGGAATCTGTGAGCTACAAATGCTCAGTGTCCAGGGGACTTTTCTGGGAAACATCTGTCAGCTGCTCCTGGTTCTCATACTCACCTTAGGTGTGAGCTGTCAGCCATGTCCAGGTACAGGTGAGGAGTGAGAATGGGGCAGATGATGGATCACTCATCCCAGTCCTTTATCCTTTATCTCCACCTGTGGGAGGAGGATTGAGTWAACCTGTCTGCTCTCTGTTGGTGGTTCCCCAAGTGAACCCCCACCCCTTCACAGTGCTCAGCCTCTTGGAGGGGACATCCTGCCCATTTATTACTGATTTTAGGACTTTAGCCCCCTTGGCCACTCTACTGACTTGTCCTCAAGCACTGGAGACCRGCACCTCACCCAGGCTCTGAGTGAGGGCACACCAATTCTTCTCAGCAGCAAACAAAGCTGTTTTCTCAGGACCCTTAAACTTTTTTGGCTTTTAGGCAGTCCCTGCACGTTGAGCTGATGATTTCAGAGAGCTGTCTGTGATCCATTCCCTGGTAGCTACCATTTCCAAATTTAGCATCCCATACACCCAGGTTGGGTTATTTTTCCTTGGGTGGATTTCTTTAATTCATCCTACCCTKCTGCTCACCTGCTGCCTTTTTGTGTGTTGTGAGGTCCCTCTGGAGTTCCTCACCAGCACTGTGGCATTTGGCTACTGAAATTACTCATCATAATCTGCAGACCTGGAGGTTTCACAGCCCTGGAATTTTTTGCCCTGCTGGCTGTTAACATGCCAAAGACCAAAAGGGCTGATGCAGAATTCAGCCCTGCCTATCTCTTCCACAGCTTTTTTGATGCCCTTTCCAAGGATGGCCCAAATTTTGATGGGGTGAAGAATTGTCAGACTTTGGCCAGGGCAGTTTGTCTCGTGTCTCCTGTTTCTCCTTTTCTCGGTGTGAAGTGGAGCACAAGTTGAACCCAGTGTTCACACCACCATGTGACTGCAGCAATGTTCATATGCCAGACACATGAATTCTCAAAAGGTCAAAGGGAGAATAAAMGGTGTCCCTGTATGCCAGAAGAAAGAAAAATTCAGCCTAAGGTTCACAGTCTTTGGGAAAGATATCCAGGATCTTGTGTCCAATGTGTGCCATGTGATGTGCGATCTGCAGCCACACAATAAGGGTTGTTATTAAAAATAAATAAAATATGCTGACCAGTAAGAGTAGAATTTGCTCCRTGTAAATTGAGATTTTCAAGCAATAAGTTCTGGGTGTGAATAAAAGAGTTATAAAATAATTCTGTAGTTTAGGGAAGAAGCATCAGAACTCAACATTTTTCTTCCTTCTGCTTTTACCTCTCTTGGCATTTACAATGAGGTGAAGGAYGAACTCAACAAAATATGAGTAGCAAATATAATAAATGTAATAAAACCTCTGCACGTGCAAATGGTGGAATTTGAAAACTATTTTTCCCAGCTKCTGTCTAGATAGCTAGAAAAATCTCCCCGAAATCCCATGTATAGAATGTTTACCATGATTTTCTGCATCATAGCTGAAAAAGAGTGAACAAATGTGAAAGTTCTGACACAATTCCTCTGAAGCCTGCATACCCAAAAACTGTTCTTTTTTTTCTCCACAATGAGCATAACCACAAAGGCAGGTTTGCCTGTGCATTCCTTGGGCTGTGGAGGGAAATCCAGAGCTCAGAGGGAGATGGGCAAGCTGAGCCAAAAGCAGTTGGTTTGGAAATTGGGGGAGAAACCACCCCGAGTGTGTATCGGGGCTGACTCACCACTCTCCTAACCCCATCCCAGGGGCAAAGGAAGCACACAGAGGGGATAAAACCTGCAACACCTCTGGAAAGCTGCTGGCTATGCCCTTATTTTCTGGAAAATCAGGCTGGGCTCATCCTCCYGAAGCCAAGGGGTGCAGTGGTGGAACGACAGCTCCTGGCCTGCTCTGTGCAGTTCTCTCACCTGCGTGGAGAGGTCTGGGGTGGGATTGCCCTGCCACAGGAGGCTTTCCAAAGCTCACCTCCCACCATGGCCATCTGAGTGAAGTGCAGAAAAGAAGGAAAGTGCTTTCCATGACATTAGGAAAGGTTAAAATCCAGCTTCAGATGAAGTGACCATCATTCCCTCTCTCTTTCACCTGGATGTTTGAACCTGAGATAGTGGAACAATGGATGAGCTTGGAACTGGATAAGCTTTAAGATCTCTTCCTACTCAAATCATTCTGTGATTCTTAGGCTAAAGAAACCTGATCCTGCTTGGCTGCCTCTCCTTGGCCTGCTGCATCTTGAACCAAACTTCATTTCTTTGTCGTTTTTTTTCCCC